CTCGGTTCCTAGACAGGCCTCTCAGGGCCTCCGCGCATGGCCGCCGGCTGCTGCCTCCCCGGGCCACTGCAGCCATTGCTCTGCTTCCCTTTCTGCACGGCTCCTGCCCTTATTGCCAATGATCTGTTCGTGCCTCCAGTGTAAGCTCCGTGGGGCAGTGCCTGGGTACTTCCTGCACAAAGCAGCCTCAGCAAAGTATGGTTGTCGAATGAGTGAGTGAGTGAACAAACGCCACCACATCCCTGGGGTCCACTGGGAACTTACTGGCCGCATGACCACAGCAGTAGCCTGCACTGTGAGCTTGTGCCCTCGTCTGTAAAGAGTAAAAGCGATGGCCTACCTCGTGTGACAGTAGCCAACCACTGCTACTCTGTGGGACACTTTCCCTGCCTCAGGGCCCAGCCCTCTGCTCAGAGGCATCAGCTCTTGACCCGTTTAAGAACCCCAGACCCCCTCCACCCTGCCCCCTCCTGGATTCTGCCAGCCCCCTGGAGCTCCAGGCTGCTGCACATACCGAGAAGCTCTGGCCTCGGGTGAAGGGCATTTTCCGGGGCAGGCTTCGCTCCTCAGAGCCCCAGGAGCTGTTGATCTGGGTGTTGCGGACCACGGCGTTCTCATTGAAACGGGGGTTCAGGTGGAAGGCGATGTCATTCCCAGAGCGCAGGTTGATGTGGAACCTGGTGGGCAGTTCACGTGGGCCCTGACACTTCTCCATCCGCCCCAGCCTGCCCAGAGCCAAGGCGATGGCTAGGAAGCCCTCAGGGGTCCCTGTGAGAACGGCGCGGTCCCTGGCTTACCTCTGAGCACTGGGCAGGACCATGCCCGACACGATGATGGACTTGGAGGGGTACAGCCCGCCTGGGATGGCGGTGAAGAAAGGCAGCGACTGTCAGAGGAGGGGAAGGTCAGCCAGCTGCTGCCGAGCAGCCCCACGGGAGGGGCATTCCACACCCAGGTCCCTGGTTTGGACTGTCGGCTGGGTCTGGCCACCCGTGAGTGGTAGATCCCCCAGAAGGAGCCCCACCATATCTTTACTTGGTTCTGTACATGCCAAAGGAGAGCTTTCCAGGGACCCTCAAGTGAATGGGCATAGGTTCTTGGGGAACAAAGGGAAGGCCATCGCATTTGTTCATGAAAAAGTGACAGTTTTAAAGCGGAGAGGGCCTTTCAAAGTCTTCTAATTTATGTGGATGCATCTAAGAATTGCAGCTTAACAAAGGACTCTGTCATTGTGCAAGGTCAGAGGCTCAGCTCTAAGCTGCACCCCCTGCCCCCCCAGTATAGACAAAATCTCTCCCCGTGCCCCAGACTACTTACATAGTTTGGGTTGGGGTACATCATCGGTGGGATTACAGGATTCTGTTGAAAAGACACCAGAAAAGTCAATGCAGGAGCACAAGCACGTGTGCATGAGCACGTGTGCATGTGCACACACACACACATGTGCACACACACGGGCTTCCACACATCCAGTGTGAGACCGAGGTCGTGAGGCTTCAGCCCTGGAGTTCTCCCATTCTCCTTCCTCATCCTATCAGCCTTCCTGGAGCTTCCCACTATGTTCCCGGACCCCACCCGGGACGCCTGCCCTTCCACCCCTCCAAGGCAGCCCCACCAGCCCCAGGCTCCCACCCAGTTTGCACATGAGGAAAGACCTTAAGTATTTAAGCTCATAACAGGGGAGAAGCAGAGCACAAGCCTGAGCTCAGTAGCACAGCCGGGCTCGTCCTCAGGGTGCAGGGCCAGGACCCTCGTATCCAGGAGCTGGGGCCACTGCGCCCCACCTCGGTAACACTAGCACCCCTTTCCCTGCTGGTCTAGGGGTCCTGCGTCCTTAACCACTGGGTAAATCCAGCCTGTTCCAATTCTGCTGTCCCAAGGAGAGTTTGAGCTGCATGTGAGTTGAAAGCCCTGCAGGTCCCTGTCCTCTTGCTGAACTCCCTTCTACCCTCCTAGAGGACTCTGTGGAATTTATTTCCTGGTAAGTGAGGACACTGTGAGACGGGGAGGGGCCCAGAACGTGGAGACTTACAGGGAACATTTGTCCAGGTATACTCTGCACGGTGTGAATGATTGTCTGAGCCTAGAAGAAAGAAACCAAGTCTTAACCAGAGTGAAGACCACTGCCTACCACCAGAGGGCGCCACTTTACATGCGCCTGTCAGGGGCCAGCAGGTGGCATGGTGGTTGTGGCTCTGGACACCCGCAAGGCCAATGAGAGTTTGAGTCCTGGACCTGATGGCTGTTTCTTACTTTCCCTCTCTCTTCTCTTTCTCTGTCTCTCTCTGGTGAGTGTGTCCTGTAGTAAATTTAAAAATGATAATAATGATGATAAATAAAAATTAAGTGAACAATTCCTTAAGAATAAAAAAATGGACCAGCAGTCAGCGTAATGGCTATGTCGCTGGACTCCCATTTAGTCAACCGCGGTTTGAGTCCTGGACCCGGCGGCTTAAACTCACACCAGACCCAAGTGTGTGCATGCCCAAGATTCCGAGAGAACGGAGGAGAAGGGTTTGCAGCGTGGCCATCCCCCCTGGGGCGGGGGGTGATTTCTCGCTTTCTGTCTCTCTGTCTCTCTCTGTCTTTTTGGCGAGTGCATGCACCCTAGAGCAAAAACTCTCCAAAAAAAGAAAGAAAAAAAAGAATAAAAAAAACGAAAACATGCGCCTGTGAAGTAAGTTCAGCTTAGGGCTGAGTCTCTGACCTTGCATAACGTAACCAGCTCAGTGACCCTGACCAGACCCCCACAAGGAGTTAGGAGAGGCGCTTCATCCCCCAAGGGGATGAGAAAGGGGAAGAGCTTAGGGTGTCTGGAGGAGGAAATGGCCGCACATGTGGTCTCAGCCATCTTTCTTCTCCTCAGCGTAGCCGTATTTGCGGAAGAAGTAAACGTGGACCTCCCTCTTCTGTGGCTACCCACAAATGACAGGGGCTGAGCCATCATGGAGCAATTCAGGTTGCTCCCCCTTTCATGGGGGCCAGCCGAGCACACCCCGCGCTCCCTCCTACAGTCTCTGACAGATGGCCTTAAGGGCTACTGCTTGACTTTGCCTCCTCCCTTTAACCCACAAGAACCAAAATGAAGAGGATTTGAAAAGGGAGAAAGACTTACAATGGGATCCGGGTTGGCAGACCAAATGTGTTGAGGCTGAAAGGGTGAGAGAAATCAAGATGGTGGTTGTCATTGGTGCCACAGCAGGTACAAGATGATGACAGAACTCCAGGCCGGGTTCTTATAGTCGGAAATGCCCCTCCAGATGTGCTCCCCCCCCACACACACACTTGCCCCCTGGCAAGCCTTCCTGAGCCTGCGGCACCCAGATTCTCACCCCCAGGTGCACAGGGCGTTGAGGCTGGAGGAGGGGCGGACCCCATCGGCTCCTCCTGAGAGAGCAGGACGGTTTATACAGACCAGGTGGCTTCTCTTCGCTCCCAGAGGCCACAGCATCACATGCAGTGCTGTGTGTCACCTATCAGATGACAACTAGCATCTACCGAAGGCCGACTGTGTGCCAAGCTCTGGGCTTCGGTGTTTTCCAATGAAGGAACCACCCCTAGCTCCTTTCTCACTACCGAGGCGATGCGGCTCAGCAGGGTTAAGCGACTTGTCCAAGCTCTCCTCGGCAGCCAGTGATAAAATCCAAAATGGCGCCCCGTTGTTTGACCGTATCCATCACAGCCTGTATCCCCCCCAGGCCAGGGTAAAGGGGGCTGCCCTGCAAAGGCTCCCGAGCTTGGCCAGTGCCGGGCCTAGAAGGCAGGTGCACTATGTTCCCGGACCCCACCCGGGACGCCTGCCCTTCCACCCCTCCAAGGCAGCCCCACCAGCCCCAGGCTCCCACCCAGTTTGCACATGAGGAAAGACCTTAAGTATTTAAGCTCATAACAGGGGAGAAGCAGAGCACAAGCCTGAGCTCAGTAGCACAGCCGGGCTCGTCCTCAGGGTGCAGGGCCAGGACCCTCGTATCCAGGAGCTGGGGCCACTGCGCCCCACCTCGGTAACACTAGCACCCCTTTCCCTGCTGGTCTAGGGGTCCTGCGTCCTTAACCACTGGGTAAATCCAGCCTGTTCCAATTCTGCTGTCCCAAGGAGAGTTTGAGCTGCATGTGAGTTGAAAGCCCTGCAGGTCCCTGTCCTCTTGCTGAACTCCCTTCTACCCTCCTAGAGGACTCTGTGGAATTTATTTCCTGGTAAGTGAGGACACTGTGAGACGGGGAGGGGCCCAGAACGTGGAGACTTACAGGGAACATTTGTCCAGGTATACTCTGCACGGTGTGAATGATTGTCTGAGCCTAGAAGAAAGAAACCAAGTCTTAACCAGAGTGAAGACCACTGCCTACCACCAGAGGGCGCCACTTTACATGCGCCTGTCAGGGGCCAGCAGGTGGCATGGTGGTTGTGGCTCTGGACACCCGCAAGGCCAATGAGAGTTTGAGTCCTGGACCTGATGGCTGTTTCTTACTTTCCCTCTCTCTTCTCTTTCTCTGTCTCTCTCTGGTGAGTGTGTCCTGTAGTAAATTTAAAAATGATAATACTGATGATAAATAAAAATTAAGTGAACAATTCCTTAAGAATAAAAAAATGGACCAGCAGTCAGCGTAATGGCTATGTCGCTGGACTCCCATTTAGTCAACCGCGGTTTGAGTCCTGGACCCGGCGGCTTAAACTCACACCAGACCCAAGTGTGTGCATGCCCAAGATTCCGAGAGAACGGAGGAGAAGGGTTTGCAGCGTGGCCATCCCCCCTGGGGCGGGGGGTGATTTCTCGCTTTCTGTCTCTCTGTCTCTCTCTGTCTTTTTGGCGAGTGCATGCACCCTAGAGCAAAAACTCTCCAAAAAAAGAAAGAAAAAAAAGAATAAAAAAAACGAAAACATGCGCCTGTGAAGTAAGTTCAGCTTAGGGCTGAGTCTCTGACCTTGCATAACGTAACCAGCTCAGTGACCCTGAGCAGACCCCCACAAGGAGTTAGGAGAGGTGCTTCTTCCCCCAAGGGGATGAGAAAGGGGAAGAGCTTAGGGTGTCTGGAGGAGGAAATGGCCACACGTGTGGTCTCAGCCATCTTTCTTCTCCTTAGCGTAGCCGTATTTGCGGAAGAAGTAAACGTGGACCTCCCTCTTCTGTGGCTACCCACAAATGACAGGGGCTGAGCCATCATGGAGCAATTCAGGTTGCTCCCCCTTTCATGGGGGCCAGCCGAGCACACCCCGCGCTCCCTCCTACAGTCTCTGACAGATGGCCTTAAGGGCTACTGCTTGACTTTGCCTCCTCCCTTTAACCCACAAGAACCAAAATGAAGAGGATTTGAAAAGGGAGAAAGACTTACAATGGGATCCGGGTTGGCAGACCAAATGTGTTGAGGCTGAAAGGGTGAGAGAAATCAAGATGGTGGTTGTCATTGGTGCCACAGCAGGTACAAGATGATGACAGAACTCCAGGCCGGGTTCTTATAGTCGGAAATGCCCCTCCAGATGTGCTCCCCCCCCACACACACACTTGCCCCCTGGCAAGCCTTCCTGAGCCTGCGGCACCCAGATTCTCACCCCCAGGTGCACAGGGCGTTGAGGCTGGAGGAGGGGCGGACCCCATCGGCTCCTCCTGAGAGAGCAGGACGGTTTATACAGACCAGGTGGCTTCTCTTCGCTCCCAGACGCCACAGCATCACATGCAGTGCTGTGTGTCACCTATCAGATGACAACTAGCATCTACCGAAGGCCGACTGTGTGCCAAGCTCTGGGCTTCGGTGTTTTCCAATGAAGGAACCACCCCTAGCTCCTTTCTCACTACCGAGGCGATGCGGCTCAGCAGGGTTAAGCGACTTGTCCAAGCTCTCCTCGGCAGCCAGTGATAAAATCCAAAATGGCGCCCCGTTGTTTGACCGTATCCATCACAGCCTGTATCCCCCCCAGGCCAGGGTAAAGGGGGCTGCCCTGCAAAGGCTCCCGAGCTTGGCCAGTGCCGGGCCTAGAAGGCAGGTGCCCTGCCTGTACCAGGAGGTGCATGGAAGACCAGGTTGACAGCGCACTCCCCAAGTCGCCGCTGCTCAAGTGGCCCGTGGAAGAGCTGCGTGCCCTCCTGTCCTGGGTCCTGCCCTCCCAGTAGACCGTTCTGGCCCTGGCTGGCCTCCCACTCCACCTGGCCACGCTGACCACATCCCGCATTTATCTACTGAGTTTCTCCCGAGAGCTGGGCAGTGTGCAAAGTGCTGGGAAACAAATGAGCGGTCCCAGCCCTCGAGGGGCTCCCGGGCACAGAGAAGGTGTAGACGGAGTGACAAGGACACACATGTACACACGGTTACAGTGGGACATGGTGAGTGGCACGGCACAGACAGGTACAAAGTCCATGGGGGCACAGACGGGAGCATCCAGCAGCCTCCTGGGTGGGAAGATGCCCAGAGGAGCGACACGGAAGCGGAGCGCCGAGGGCACTGGGTAGTGTGCTGAGCGCGAGCCGGGCAAGGGGCCTTTTGGCACTGGGGACAGCACATGCAGAAGCATGGTGGCCTGAGGGGGCTTGGTCAGAGTGAGGCTGAGGGAGTCTCAGTGAGAGAAGGGAAGTGGGGAGGGTATTGGGCCAAACTGGGAGGACTCTGTATAGGCCAGGAATTTGGGTTTTATTCGGAAGGGCCTGGGGGCGCCTATGACTTTTAAGCAGAGAGGACTTGACTGCATTTACTTAGGGAAGGCTTCTGTGGCAGCAGGTTGGGGAGGTGCAGGTCAGGACCCAGACCCGGGGAGGGAAAGACATGAGGCGAGGGAAGGGGCCAGGCTGCAGCAGTAAGCGCGGAGCCCTGGGAGACCAAGCCGCAGGGGAAGGTTCTGGGTTCACGTCCAATGGCCTCCCTGAGCACACCAGGCACTGCCTGTGCCCGGGGTGGCCTGAAGCTTGGGGTGGATTGTGGCACTGGGCCCCTGGTTGGGAGTGCTAGTTCTCTCTGGGTCTTTTATAGAAGAAAGAAATAAACTTAAAAAAAAAAAAAAAAAAGGAAGAGGAGGGAAGAATCAAGGGTGTCTCCCGTCTCCCTGACTGCGGGCACTGGGTGGAGGAAGACGGAACCCGTCGGGAGCCAAGATGGGGCCTGCTGGCTGCCTCGTCTCCCGGGCCTCCATATTTAACTCACTTTCGGTTTGCACCCTGTGGGCTTGTGTGGGGCACAGACAGGCTGGGAGAACTGCATCGTGGATAAGATAGACCGGACAGGGGCCGTGCGGGGTTTCTGTAAAACAAATGGCATGCACACGGGGGAGGGAGGGTTAGAGAAGCCGGGGCGAGCGGAAAGGCACGGGCAGGTGCAGGGGAGAGCAGGGGCGGGGTGAGCGGTCATTAAGGGCTCTGGAGGTAGGAGAGGAGAGGAAAGGGCCAGGCTGTGGAGGAACAGCAGGTCAGAGGTCTCCTCCATCTGTCTTTCCCCACCCTGCAGGGAGAGTGGCGTAGGGAGAGCACAGGAGGTAGAGGGTCGGATGTGTGGAGGAACCCCTGCGCACTCTGCTCGCCTCGTGGAGCTGACTCGAGCATCGACGGTGGGAGCAGCAGCCTGAGCCCAGCATGCCCGACCTGGGCCCAGCACAGCTGGCCTGGGCCCAGTACACCCAGCCTGGGCCCAGCACACCTGACCTCTGTCCTACTGCCCGGGCCCAACACACCTGACCTGGGCCCAGCACGCCTGACCTCTGTCCTGCTGTCTGGGCCCAATACGCCCGACCTGGGCCCAGCACAGCCGACCTGGGCCCAGTACACCTGACCTCTATCCTACTGCCTGGGCCCAATACACCCGACCTGGGTCCAGCACACCTGACCTCTGTCCTGCTGTCCAGACCCAACACACCCGACCTGGGCCCAGCACAGCCGGCCTGGGCCCAGTACACCTGACCTCTGTCCTACTGCCCAGGCCCAGCACAGCCGACCTGGGCCCAGCACACCTGACCTCTGTCCTGCTGTCCGGACCCAACACACCCGACCTGGGCCCAGCACACTTGACCTCCGTCCAGCTGCCTGGGCCCAGCACACCTGACCTTCCCATTTCTCATGGGGTATCACCTAACCTTTTAGATGTTGGCAGTGCGTTCAAAAATTTAAAAATTCTGAGAGGGTCCATTGGCCCCTGTGTGTGGGCCCCTGGGGGTGTGTTTTGTGACCTCTGACATTGAACCTCACAAATACACGGGATGGCAATGGCCATGATCGTTCTACAGATGAGGAAAGTGAGGCTGGGCGAGGCGAGGCCGCCTGTCTGGGATCCCACAATGATGAGAACGGCCGAGCTGGGTGTGTGCACAGGATTCAGTTTGGTTCCGAAACCTGGGCTCTTCCCGGCCTCCCACCCAGTGTGGAGAGAGGAAGAGAGCAACAGGGAGCAGCCTGGGACGTGGAGGCGGAAGCTCAGCACAGAGACACAGGAGGGAAGGGTGGAGTGACTGAGAAGGGGCAGGCGAACACCGGGACTAGAGACTGAACCTGGCCAGGAGACTGGACCTTCAGACCCACCCGGCAAGACCCAGGCACAGCTGGGCCGGCCCTGCATCCCGGCCCCTGGGACAGGCGCCAGGTGGACAATCTGACCTGGAAGCTGACGTAGGACAGCTGCACGGAGCCGGTGACGGAGATGACGTTCACGCTGTGGAAGGGCACGCGGTGGGAGTACTGCACGAAGAAGTTCCCGTCCACCATCACCTGCCAAGGGAGAGCCGTGTTCCAGGGGCGGCGACCAGGGCAGGGCAGGGACCACACCTGCTCCCCTGGAGCCCTGCTTCCAGACCCGAGTCTGGTCTTCACACCCAGGCCCTCCAGGTCAGGGCATCAGCCTCCAGCCGGGCCAGTGGCACGAACACACAGGGATCCAAAGCTCATCCGCCTTGACCCAGCCTCAGTTAGGGCGTCGGGGAAGGCCTGACATATTTTTGTGTTTTTCTACATAAACACACGTCATGACTTTCCTGGCAACCCAGTATTTGACTCTAGTGGTTGGCTTTCAGTGCTGTGGTTGTTTATTGAGGTAGGTTTGTCTTTCTGATTATAGCTGGCCTGGAGCCTTATTTAAATATGCATAAAAATGCTCGCAGGGGACCAGCAGTTAGTGTAATGGCTATGTCGCTGGACTCCCATGTAGTTGACTGCAGCTCAAGTCCCAGACCCGGGGGCTTAAACTCACACCGGGCATGTGTGCGTGCATGCCCAAGATCCCGCGAGGAGAATGGAAGAGCAGGGATTGCAACGTGGCCATCCCCCTGGGGGGTGATTTCTCGCTTTCTGTCTCTCTGTCTCTCTCTGTCTGTCTGGCAAGTGCATGCACCCTATAGCAAAAAAAGCTCACAGGAGGGGAGAGGATGGGGGACAAGCTCAGGTGGGACGTGAGGCCCGGAATGTCCTTGTCCAGGCAGACAGACACAGCTCCCAGGCTGGATGGGCTACTCTGTCAAGGTGATTTCCAGTGGCCTACCAAACCATGCCATGGGCAGAACCTGGACACAGGCTGTCGGCAGATACATGTGGACCTGGAGCGCAGGAACGGCCACAGCAGAGAAATGGAATGAACTTGGACTTTAAAGATGCCCAAGGCCAAAAAGCAACGTGGTGACTGACCTAGTTCTTTCCAGAGCCACAGGAGCAATGCGTGCACCCGTAGGCCCAAGGAAGGCGGGTACGGCACAGCCAAGCTTCCGCGCCAGGATGCCCACCGAGTGGTGTGGCTCTAGGCTGACCTCAGTGAACGTGATGACTCACGGCCGTTCACCAAACCCGACAGAGGCGGGGTGCGGACCCCTGCTCACCTGGAAATGCGAGCTGTGCACCAGGAAGCAGAGTTCAAAGGGCCTCCCCTTCTGGAAGGGCATCTGCATCTTCCTCTCCTCAGCCCCCCAGCAGTTGTTCTGCTTCGTGTTGCAGACCACATACCCTCCCTCTTCAAACCGAGGGTTGAAGTGGAAGGCAATGTTGTTGTCCTCGAAGGTGTTCTGCAAGTTCACAGCAAACCTAGGCCGAGGGGAACCAAAGAATCTTCTGTAGCCTGGTCTATTGCCCGTGGTAGGAACAGGGGCCCCGGGGCCTATGACTGACCCACAGATGACGTGCGTGGCAGAAGGTCGGCACACTATTCATTCACCTAATGTGATTGTGTGCAGTTATTGTACTTGGCCCACCCAGCATGATTTTCTTTTTTTTTAAATTGTTTTAGATTTATTTAATTTTATTTATTATTATTATAACATTTTTATTTATCATTTTATTAAAATTGCTACAGGGCACATGTGCTCACCAGAGGGAGAGAGGGAAAGTGAGAAAGTAAGTCACCAGGTCCAGGACTTGAACCGCAGTTGGCCATGTGGGAGTCCAGTGCCTTAACCACCATGCCACCTGCTGGCACCCTTATTATTTTTTAATTTACTATTGGGCCCATGTGCTCACCAGAGAGAGGCAGAGAGAGGGAAAGTGAGAAAGCAAGCCATTAAGTTCAGGACTCAAAACTGTGGTTGGCCTTGTGGGAAAACAGCGCCTTCACCACCATGCCACCTGCTGGTCCCCAGCATGATTTTCTAAACACACATACAGGGCAGGTAAGGAAAAGCCCTGGCACTAGCGCCAGCAAGCATAGTCTTGAAGACTAATGGTGACTTGGTGTCAAAGACGGAGGGCATGGAGATGCCTAGAAGGGAGCCATGCGACACCCACTGGAGGCGGCGTGTTGGAGGCCTTACACCTGCCGGCTGGGAAGGAGGAGCATGAATTTCAATGGCGTGCAGCTCAGAGGCGGGTCTAAAAGGGCAGTGAAAAGAGAATGTTAGCTCCCAAGACGAAAGCATTCACTGTGTCCCACATGGGATCTTGGTGTGTATCTTGGGGATCACATAAAGAATGGATGTGGTGGGACCAGCAGATGGTGTAACGGCTATGTCGCTGGACTCCCATGTAGTCGACCACGGTTCGAGTCCCAGACTTGATGACTTAAACTCACGCCACGTGCATGAGAGGAGAATGGAGGAGAAAGGATTGGCGTGGCCATCCCCCCTAGGGAATGATTTCTCACTTTCTGTTTTTGTCTCTGATGTGGTGTCCCCACGTCAGGCAGGCCTGGACTCAGGTCCCAGCTCTGCCCCGCTAGTCATTAGGGAGATCCCTGAGCCACAGTCCCCTGGAGTAGCTGCACCCAGCAAAGGGGCTGGCGACTGAATGAAGCGGCTGAGGAAGCCTTCCTGTCGCCCTCCCCTCAGAGGAAGCGCTAACCGCCAAGACTTCCTCCAGGGAGGGCTGCGGCACTCAGAGAAGAACGTCCAAGGAGCCTGGCTCATAAAGGGGCTCCGTGAACGCTGGTTCTGCCTTTTCCCAGGCAGTCTGAGTTGGAGGCTCCCCTTCGAGGCACTGCTGTCTGCTCTGGCCTTTGCTGAGTTCGGTGCAAGTGTGGTTTGCGGCCTGCTCCATGGGGGTCACTCTGTTCTCCCCATCCATCCTCGGAGCTCCAGGTGGGGTCTTGCTTTCTGTCCTCGTATCCCCCAGGGTTCCCGGCACCACGCTGACCCCAAGGTAGCCCCTACAGACACTGTATTAAATTCCCGCGGAGCCCATTCGATTTTCTGTTGGAGGGTACGTTCTGGAACATTCTGGCTAGCAAAGCGCTGAAGCTATTTCAACTCCAGGTCTCTGAATGCTCAGACAGAAGGGCCCATAGGAAACAGTAGTGGCCCTGAGCCCAGCCCTGGCCCCAGCCAGCCGCATCCCGGGACCACCCAGAGGCAAGGAGGCTCCAGGTGACTCGGGAATCCCCAAAGCCAAGCCCATTTTTCTCTCTGAAATACCTCTGCTGTATTTCCCCCGTAGCCCTTCACCTTCACTCCCGTAGTCTTCTGAAAATTCCTGCCTTGGGAAGGGAGAGAGCAAAGGTCCCAGGGGCAAAGGAACTGGCTCTGCTAGGCGGTATGGGGGTGGGGAGCCCCCGATACTGGTGGGGGGAGGCAGTGAGAAAGACATGCAGGTGTGTGGCCCAGGTCCTGGCTCCCCTGCTGGGAGAGCTTTAGGGAATCGGGTGCCTCGGCACCCTTAGAGCCTCCTGGGGCCCTGTGGGTCTCATGGCCAGTGTGGCCGAGTCCACCCAGGCAGGTAGCCACGGTGGAAGGATCTAGATGGCCAAGCATAGATGGGCTGGGGCCTGGTAGTTTGTGAAGGGGAGCCCAGGAGGTCCCAGTGCCTCACCTAAGGGACTGGGACCACTGTGGTCCTGAGAGAGTGCCAGTCGAGAGGGGCTCTGCGACTTCAGCAAGCAGCCACCGCCTAGTCCCCCACCAAACAGGGTGAGAACCACACACCTCTGCCACCCACAGCTGCCTTGGCAGAGCCTGGCCAGGCCCGTGCTAGGCCTGAGGCTACTCTGGCCCCTGAGAAGACGAGGCATCTTCCCCTCCCCCAGACAGTCCTCCCTGGGGAGGAAGAGTGCACAGGAAATAGCACCACAATGTCAGTGCTTGGACTGACTTAGTGTTTTCCAGAACGGACCTGGAAACTGAAAGAGACCAAGTTACTTTCGGTGGCAGCAGAGCAGATGAGGACAGTGGTGGGATGCGAGGACACTGCATTCTGCAACTCTGGAGCAAAGGGCACCAAGTGCGGCCCTGACGCAAAGCCACCTGCCTCTGTGCGACGTCGCCCTGGAGGCCCGGATCCCGTTCACCCATTAGCCCTGGAGACCATGCTGGTGACAACTCTGGGTGCAGCTGGCCTCTGTGGGGTGGTGCCCTGTGGCGTGGGCAGGGGCCCTTCCCCAGGCCAGGTGCAGGTGAGCGGGAGGCCATGGCTGAGCTGACCCGAGCTACTCATTAGGGATGAGCTCGTGGGCACGAGGTTTGCTAAGGGTTGGGGCTGGAGAGAGACCGCAGTTCCATCCACGTACCTGTTTGCACTGGAGTTAAGGACGGTCCCGTTGATAGTAATCTGAAGCCCATCCTTGAGACCACCGTGGATTGATCCATAAAAGGGGACGGGCTGCAGGGAGAAGGTGTGGAGACCGCTGGTCAGTTGGGCTGCTTCCTCTGGACCCTTCAGCCTGCCAGGGGCCAGCCCAGGTGTGACAGCACCGTGCTGGGGATGTGGCTACCCAGAGCGGGCAGATGGGGCTCCGCAGTCTCGCATGTAGCTACATGGACGTTCCAGGATTGCGAGAGGGAGACTGCCTGGCTCTGACAGGATGTGACAGGGAGCTGCCCTGGGTGAGGGTCTGAGAGGAAGACACTCACCTGAGAGAGTGAGAGAGAGAGAGACAGAGAGAGAGAGAGAGGCTGCGCTGGGGAATCTGCAGGAGGAGGGCCTTCCGGGCAGGGAAGCAGCATGTTCGTGACCTGAGATGGCGAGGAACTAGGGGAACCATGCAGGCTGCTGGATCCCAGGCCAAGCTCCCAGCAAGGGCCCTCCGGCCCTGGCTGGGGACTCAGAAGTCTCCAGGGACTGAAGGCCCACAACAGGTGCTGAAGCTGTTCACCACCTGAGAGGGCGAAGAAGTCATCCCTCCCTGCAAACACCATCCTAAAATGATGGCGGCTGTGACCTTTGCCCTCCCCCACCTCCCATAGAGCCTCTTCCCAGATGCTCTGTGGCTGTGGGGAGCCCCCTCCTTCCTACTCCTGCTCCTGGGTCCCCCATGCTTTCCCTCGGGCCCTCAGCAACCTCCGAAGGCCTAGCTTGGCATCTCCACCTACCCGGGGCCCACCAGCAACCGCTTTGTCAAATCCTCTTTCCTGGGCCTCTGGAAAGGACAGCGGGTTAGGGCGAGGCACGTGTTGTTTCAGAGTCAGGCTGACTCCGGGTTCGACTCTGACTCTGCGTCTCATTATCTGAGTGGCCTTGGGACACTTATTTAAGCCCTCTTTGCCTCAGCTTCCTCATCTATAAATAGGGATCAATAGGCGCCCTTCCACGGCCTCCCCACAGCCTCCCACCTTGGTCTCTACAAGCAAAATTCCCAAAGTGGTACTTCCCAACTTCCAAAACTGACTTGTGGAATGCTTTTTATTGAATGTGATTTTGCAGCCTGCGAAGCCCAGTTCTATCTCCTAGCTGATTCGCATCTTTTTAAAGTTGTGGCCTCTCTAGCCTCTCCTTTCGGTCAGAGTTCCCTACAAAAATTCCATGCTTACGGGAGCCAGACAGGTGATGTGTAGAGTGAGATGTCCAGAGAGGATGCAATAGGGAGTGGTGGGGACTATGACAAAGTAGACATGATTGTTACTTAGGCCCAGTGTTGACAAAGCTTCAAAATGTTTAAGAGAAGATAGAAATCTGCATTTTTTTTTCCCCTGTAAAACTTTCTAATTTCTGGGGGGAAGGAAATCCTTCAAAAAGGATTGCATAAGAGTTCCTATATTGGGACCAGCAGATGGCATAATAGTTACTTTGCTGGACTTCCATATAGTCGTCTGCTGTTCAAGTCCCAGACCCGGCAGCTTAAAACTCACACTGGGTGTGTGTGCATGCATGCACAAAATCACAAGAGAAGAATGGAGGAAAGGCATTGCAGTGTGGCCATCTTCCCGAGGGGTGATTTCTTGCTTTCTGTCTCCCTATCTCTCCAGTGAGCTTGTGAACTCTATAACAAAAATCTCTCTTTTATTTTTTTTTTTAAAAGTGTTCCAATATTAGAGAGCTAAAACTGCTACAGCTTGAATATATCCCTTGAACACTGCATGTGTTGAGCCACTGTAAACAGGAAGAGTGAGGCCGCTGGGTCGTAATTGAGTAGTGAGGCTGGCGGGTGGGGTGGGATCCCCCGCGGTTGAGTCCAACGAGGTTTATAAGGAAAGAAAAGGAGGCAGAGACCCACAGATACAGAGTATGCTCTGCTCTGCCCGAGCCGCTGGCTTCCTCCCTGGTGGG